ATGTAGCTTCGTTTTAATCGAAAAAGGTCAAATTTCCTGACACAACTCCTCTGAGACGAAATTCCGACAGGCGACATAAGAATCTTGCGAAATGCCGACGTGGCTGGTGGCGAATTTCAGACAGGGGACATGGGTACCCCCCCTAACAGGGCCTCGGGGTTGCCACAGGAAAAAAGGGGAAAATATTCTTCAAGGTCAGGGAAAAGTCAGGGAATTTTATTTTGAGTCAGGAAAAATTGACGTTTTGAAGAAAAGTCAGGGAAAATTGAAATAATTTAACATTGAAGGCAGAAGAAACATTTGAGGTCACTGTGATCTCAACGATATTGCTGCTTAAGGTTACTTCAGACCTTCGCGGGAGTCCTCCAGAAAAAAAATTCGTACGCGCGCTGTTTTCAAGGAACCCCTACAAACTATATATCAACAGAAAGGTTATAAAATGTAAAATTCGATAAAATTATGTTTTGTTTTGGATTTTGCTTTCCAAAGGCGGCAGAGGCTGTCAACTCCAAAATGACCGACTGACGTTCCAGCGAATTACAAATCCATACCAGGCTTTACAAGATCAATGGAAGATTACAAAAACATAGATGTTTACCTTGCCAATGACTATTAAGAACAAAACCAGACATCATAAAAATAGAGTTTGGCATGTTTAGCATCAGTTGGATAGTCAAAATAACATCAAATTGCAAATACTTTTTGGTGAGAGTCTTTTTGATATGATTCTAATATTCGTAATATGTTTTTATAACCCCTTTGTCAAGTCTCCTTTGATATTGTTATAATTTGGGGTTGTGGTAAAAATAAATACAGGACGAGAAGTTTTTGACCATATGATTATTTATAAACTGCATATTGAAACACAACCTAAGTTTTGAAAAAAAGTTGCTCTGAAAAGTACCAGTATTTAAAACTCCACTGTACCAGGCATGGAGCACGTGCAAATGATGTTCATTCACACAATATTAAGTTCACTACGTTGTGAAATTCATTTGACACAATGATATTTGATGGAAGATCTTGGCTATTTGTCCATAGTGTATGTATTTATTATACAGTCAGTTCTCTTGTGATGGACACCTGTTTGATACATTCAAGTGAAGTAAGTGTCTGATGTACTCCAGTCCTTTACTTCATTGCCCTTCAAGAACTGGGTGAATACAGCTCTAAGGCAGACACCTCTCTAACACAAAGACAGATGCTTCTTCAGGATGGACACTGGCCCTGGAGGTGTGCATTCAAAGAGAATTGACTGTACATTATGAAGAGTTTTTATTTTCCTGATTTATGTCATGCTGTGGAACAAAAAACAGAAAACCATATTAATCTTACATGCAATTCTTACCATGATCAAACCATGTTTTATATATACAGTACAAGTCAAAAAACAGCAATATAAGTCTTGTGACTATTTGGATCGAGGAATTTGAGTTTTAGAGAAGACCAAAAATGGGCAAGACTAGACAAAAAAAAGCAATTTTCCCAGAGAAGATCAAAGAGTTGAAGCTGATTGATTGATCTGTCAGTTTTCGTGCAATCCTCACTGACAGTGCATCAGTGTCAAAGTATTTCAAATAGTCATACCACTGGTCTCTGCGAGCAAAAATGCAAATTTGTCAGGTTTTGTTGGTTGTTATTCATTTACACGTCTATGGCAAATTATGTACCTCTCAAACAGTGAAGCTCTCATGCTGCTAGCTATGGCTGATGGCTGGCCATCTCCTAATTTAAATACACTTTCTATGACAGACAGTTCTGTGCTAGTAGTGTCCAGGCCGCAAAAGGAAGCCCAGTCGTTAACAACCATGCCCGCTCCAATGACATCACTGCCTCTGTTGACAGTTCCAGCCTGTGGATATAGAAAAGACACTCTTGCAAAAAATCACACAAAACGATCTCAACCACCTTTTGCCTTCCTCTCCCAAGAACAATACATACAGTTGAACCTCTTAATGTGGACACCAAAGGGGCAGATCTGAGTGTCCTTTTTATAGAGGAAGAGATTATATGAATGCTGGTTTTGCTAGGGCTAAGTTAATTGTCTGTAATATACCGTAAGCTTCTGAAAGTAATGACCCTCAATACTTTTGGAATTAGCAGCCTTTGTGGCTTGTTACTTTCAGGGGGTCATTACTTTTGGAGAGCAAAAAACGTTATGTGATGTTGATGCCAGTGAACTCTAAAGATGCAAATATTTGTTCAAAAACAAGATAAAATTCATCACAAGAATCCAGTTTCAAGTTACTGCCACGTGGGTGGACTCTTCATGTCTACACTGTGTTATTATGGAGGTGTCCGTAAGGAGAGATTTAACTGTTCATATAAATAATTATCACTGTTTCAATTAATAATATTATTGAAGTAACAGGTGCATGGCTGTAGAAGCTAGTTATCATTGAGCTGTCATCAACTTGTTATCACAATTTCCAATGTGCCATTTGAATTGACTATGTGAATGATTGATAACAGTTGGAGATACCAGTAGTTGGGAAAAATTGATGTCTTCAACTATCATTGACTATCATGCACCATTTGACCTAAGCTTTCAGTTATACTTCACTGTTTTATAAACCTGATGTAAAAACTGGAACACCTCACCAGTCACTATTAACCAACCAGACTGTACGATTCAGTTCATCTGACCTTATCTGGCAGATGTGGAGTAGTAATAAGGGGCAATGCTAAGAGGTTTGGAGCAGTAGGGGAAAAGGAGAATAGAGGGCTAGGTACATGTACATTTCCACTCCTCCAACATCTCTCTCGTATCTATTTGCAGGATGCAATATGAGACTTTTTAAAAATGAAAAGGACAAACCACAAGGGGGACTTGTAATAATGATGACAACTCATCCTGATCTTCAACTGATGTTCGAGGATGTACCTACAAAAAAAAAACTTCAGATTATCCAACATTCAAAGCTTGAGAGACACACAATGTAAAGTTTTTCCACCTTAAGGACGTTCATGCAAATTGTTTCTGCACATCCTTACTGCACACGCAAAGAGTCCAAGCCTTGTTTTTTGTCAACAAACACAGCTGTGAGTATAACTGCAAAGAGTTATTTCCCCAACCTTAATTTTTTTCTTTTTGCAAAGAGTGACTCCAAATAGCAGAAATAATGCATTTAAATTTTATTCAGTGTTTGGTTTGATAAAACATTATTTTGTGTCCAGGCCAAAACAATTTATTTAAAAAATGTCCCTTTTAAAAGAAAAATAACAAATATGTAACAAAATTTCATTCAATACATGGTTTCAACAATCTGCATGTATTTTAATATACTTTTTAAGGCTTCTTAATTATAACAAACCAACACTTACAAGGCCACCTCGATTGCTGAGAGCACAGTAACTCCCCACTAAAACATTGCCAGCAACAGTTTGACGAAATACCTCCACCTTAAGAACATCTGCCAAAATTTCTTCAGTTTCCTGAAAACCAATAATCAAATTCTCATAAATTTAAATAATGGCTGCTTCACAAAATCCCTCACATATCATCACGCTTTACCAATGCTTGTTAATAAAAAGAATACACTTTCCATTATGTCTTCTTTTTTATCTTTACCAAATTAAAGTTCACACTACATAACTCAGTAGCAAACATTACCCTGTCCAGGTCGGGGTTGACAAGTGCAACATAGTCATTGCAAGCAACTACATTCCCTAATGCTGACAGCCTCTCCTCCACTCTTTGTATTTTCACTGTGTCAGGTAAGGAATTTCGAATGTGTTGAAGCTCCTTGGGAATGTAAAAAGACTTGCAGTCATTATAATTCACATCATTATTTTCATGCCAGCAAATAGAAACTTAGAAATAGGAAGGTGGATAATGTTAAAGCTTTCATTTAAATCCAATTAGAAGACAGATTGATGATAAAACAACAAGACAGGACCATTTATTTCAACTGCAATAATACTTATATTTAAAAAAAACAGTAACTGATCACCCAAAACAACTGGGGAGAAAAAGTGGTAGGGCGACCTGCATTTATTAAAATACACCCCTAATGGGAAATCTGAGAAACATCTGGTTTTAAAACATGGCTTAAAGATGATTTTCTCTGTTAACTCCTTAGAACTTGTAGTTTATCCTGAAGTAAGTTGTAGATGATTGTGATTGTGATTGTGATTGACTGTGCCTAACATGAAGACAACAAAATACAATTACATGAGGTTGTAATTGTTTGATTCAGGTGCAGTGTAAGATGGTATCTAAATAATGCCTGCAGTGATATTAAAATATATGCAAAAAAAATTGTTTGTAAAATTTCTAAGTTTATCACCCTAATTTTTAGACAAAAACACATCATGCATCAACTTGAAATAGTTTTAGTTTTGGCACTGAAAAGATTAATCATTTTGGTGACCTACCTGGTCTGTTGTTGTGTTTGGTACAATAAGTCCATTTCTGTTACCTGATGTAAAGGATAACAATTAAAATGGATAAGTAAGGTTTCTTGTAATATGGTAACTTATATCTGAATCTTAAAGCATTAAAACAAAGGTGCATGCATCAGGGAGGGCATCACAAGAGACTACAAAAAAGAATCTGTGGGGACCTAATTGTTGTCTGCTCAGTACCAATCTACAATAACATGCTCTATTTTTGAGATACTACAATCCCAGACAAAAGTAGTTGGGACCCTTGAGCTGGATCACGTATCCTCCATCCCCCTGGATCAATGTTGGAAAAATAATGTCGCATTTTTTTTCAACAAAAAGGGAAACAATCACTTGATTTTCAACATTGTAAGTGGTGGGAGGGGAGAACGTGTTTCGTGTCCCAAGTTTTTTGGTCCAGGATTGTAGCTCCAACTTTATGTAATATATATAATCTAACACTCTCAACAAGTTGATCCCAACTCGACTTTGGGAACATGCAGCTTGACAGACAGCACAATTAAGTTACGGTGTGTAAATGTTTTCATGGGAAATCAACCTGTGTTCTTCTGTCTTTTAGGAATAACAGTTATTCCAATTACTGTATAATGATATACTTTAGATAAAAGTAAATCTTGGTTACATAAACATACCAACACAAAGTCTCCCAATAATTCTGCATCCTGCTACTGATGTACGAATCACAGGAATTACATCAGCGAGTTCACCTTCAAACACACTAAAAAATGAATAGAAAATGTGAATTTTGCTACCTTAGGAAATAACAAATTGGTGACTAGATGTAAGAGCTCATGGCTTTGCTGCAGAGACATGCACATAAGCACACCAAGATAAATGAAGCTTGACAAGAAAAGGCTGATGTGGTAAACTAGTTAAAGTACCAGTGAACTTGTACTTCAAATGAGGCTTCTATTCTTTGTCCAGGGTATAAACCAAATGTCAGATCACGGCAGGTTCACCTAAGCATATTAGTTAACGTGTTCCACAATTTTCACCTGGCTTTCTTGTTCAGATTCTTCTTTCAGCATTAATTTAATTAACTTGGTAATTTCTCTGCAGATCAACCTTAGATAGAGTGTAGAACATTTTTTACAGTTCATTTACCTCTAAAAAGGAGAATTTATTTTAATCTTTATAAAGTGTATATGCTGAATGGCAGATATTTCTTTATTTGTTTTATGGAATCTACATAAGACTGTAGATTGGAAACCAAAAAAAGGATATTGCTGTCTTTTCACCACATTTCAGCCATCTGAAAACACGAAATTTCACTTCTGGTAGGGTCAGAAACCACAGGGGGTTAGGATCTGGGACTCGTCAGGCAGTGACATCGAAACAAGAATATTTGTTATGACATATTTTTCAAACCGGACAATTAGAAACAAACAAAGTTTATGAAATACACCAAGAGTTAGGCAATCAAGCGTAATTCCAATTTTGGTTCAAAATTGTAAACATTTACGAAAGATATGTAGACCTACACTCTTGTTTTGATGTCAAAGCCTGACTAGTCTTAGGTCTGAACCCCAATGGTTTTGGAGGGGAAATGCCATGTTTTCAGCTGTCTAAAATGTGGTGCAGAAAAACATAAACCATTTATTTTCATTTCCATGTCACGATCTCATGCAGATTGTACTAAGTCAAGCAAATAAAAAATATCTGTCATATACACTTTAAAAGTACAGGACACCGTCTGATATTAGGATAAGCATATTAGCACTCATTTTACTTCCTCTGTTGAGGGAACTCTTACGGCTCAGGTTCTGTCTACCCCAAAACACGAGACTATGATCATTATGATATACAAACCAAGTTTCCATAATCAGCCAGCATCTCGAACATTTCCAAAAGAAAAGAAACGAAAGTCCTGTGAGCAATTTAAATGATTCCCTTTGGAGATAAATTCCCGACCATCTCCTTTATAGTGATTTCTACAGCATTATGCTCTCCTTATAACAAAATGGCTATCTGCCTAAATAGCGTTACAAATACTAAGTTATGTGAGAAAAAACTCAAGCTAATAGGCTCAGGCTTAACTTGAACTAAATTCTTGCCTGTAAAAATTCTCGGATGCACCGATTCCAACCAGGCAATATGCATTTGTCAGCTTCGAGAAAACTCCCACTTCATTACTGTTTTCAAATTGTGCCCTCACTGCCATCTGTGCAACGACTGATTTATGGAACTGAGATCCGTTTCTCGACAGAAGCAACTTTAAAATACGAAACGTGTTCCAAAACTGAACGAAATCACCAACCACATGTATATTGTACCGACTATTGTACCAACACCAACTATTGCATCGCGAAGCGCAATACATCAGCTGTCTTTAGCTTTATAAATAGCTACCTCATATATGGCAAAGTGTAGTATACCGCATTAAGTCAACTTCGTTCCCAGAGTCCTCCCGGTCCGTCCTTCTCGAAGCAGGAAGAGATAGGACACTGGGAATGAAGTTGTCATACAACTGGCCATAGTCCAAACGAAACATTTTACTTACCACTAAATAGTACAGAGTTCCTATGTAAATATTTTTCTGAGGCCTAACCTAGCAGCAATCTCATTGTCTATACCGGCACATTATATAACCCTAGGGTAAACGCTCCTTGGCATGCTTGCGACAAAAATTGAACTTTAGCTCGGCTATAAAGACTGCTATTTCAGAGCTCTCTCTCAGATTTGAAGATCCATCAGAACTTTTGAAAAAGGAATCAGTAAAAAAGCCACTATCTACTTAAAAAGAAAAGGAAAGAAAAGAAAAAAGAAAATGGGAACTAGACTGTTTGTTGTAGTTTGCTTGTTTGCGCATGCCCTGGTGTGGCGCTACTCCAGTTATCAACATGCTCCCTGGAACATGCCCAGAATCCATATTCAAACCATAACACAGCAGCATTCTAAATTTTAAGGTGTTTAGGCTGTAACAGTTCGACTGCGCGTTTGAGGATTCTATCGACACTTAGTTACCGAGGCAAAACCAAAAACCGAGATTCTACTATTCCGTGAGGAGCTACCCTGCGTGTAGACATCTATTATTCAAGGCAATGGTAGATGTCTTCAGTGAGGCTGCGCCGAGCTTGATGGATAACTTGTTATATAGTAAGTCTACCCTCGCATTTTGATTGGTTCTTACTTACGATCTATTGGCGGACGGACGCATAGATGACGACATTAACCTTTTTTGGTTTCTTTGACATAAAGTGGAGGCGCGGTGGCCTCATGGTTAGTACGCTCAACTCCGGATAGAACGATCTGGGTTCGAACCCTGGCCGGGAACACTACACCTTTTGCTGTTCATTTACAGAAAATAAACATTCATTTGTGTCCAAATTTATTTCATTATGGTGAATAAACTCTCATTAACACCAATATGACCTTCATTTGAGCGTAAGGAACGTTCAAGAATAACATTTACATATGTATTAACATTCAA